TGAGGGCAGGGGACTGGACTCGATGACCTCTCGAGGTCCCTTACAGTCCTAGAGTGTATGAACCTATGAATCTGTGAATCTATTATTGCATGGGGTTTAAGTCAGGACAGAATTTGGTCCTATGTACAGAAGACTAAGGATCTGACTGTAGCATCTCTTCTCAGCATATTCTGATGTGCAGTGTGAAACAGATGTAAGACATAGAACTCAGCGAATAATGAATTATTTTGGTTTGCTGGTAATTCTGAAAAATTGGGGGGAAATTATTTTGGGTTGAACCCAAATTGAAATATTTTGCTCATCGAAAAGTTAAAAATAAAAATTGGCGTCTGTCAAAATGCAATGTTTGGTTTCAATTTGAGGGATTTTTCTGTCTGTTTTTAAATGTTTTAAAATACATTTGGAGGAAGTTTTTAAGCAGAAAAGCAATTTTGAATCAAAAAATTGAAGTGTTTCATTTAAAAAATGTGGAAAAAAATATTTGACTTACTTTGATTTTTTTTTTCTTTTAAGCACAAACAATTTGGTGAAACCAACACAAATTCACAAAACGTTTTGGGGTTGCTGACTGCATTTTTCATCCAAATAGTTTCACGCAGCTCTAGTTAGGAGGACCAAGCTTTGGAACTCATGATTAACACTTGAACTTATGCAGTTCTAGCTCTGTCATTGTAATTCACAAAGGACTCGAGGAAAAATGTCAGTTCCTGACATCCTTATCAACTACAAAATCAGTGATCAATCTCCCCCTTTGTGTACCTTTCACAACTGGTGACTGATTTCTAGATCATCTGAACAGTGCTTAAGAAAATCTTAGACTGGACCCTGAGATGTCCAGCTTTTTTCTGTTTGTAGATTGATGGATCTTAATTTTTAATAGACAATCACCTCATATTGCCTTTTTGTTAAGTTCAGCTTTAAAGAGTGTCAGGTTACAAAATGTTGCACTACCACACATACAAAGCACATCTATTTCTTCATGGAAGTCCTGCCAGGGCCTGTGGACATAGAGCCAGCACATTTGAGCTGACTCCATTGTACACTCCGCCAAAAACCTGAATTAGGAGGTCAAGTTCTAATAGATCCAGAAAACCCCAGAGAGACTTTAAATCCGTGCAAGAAAGTGGCACGTTGAGGTACCAGTAGTGGTTGACCAAAGGTTCAATACACTTCATATCTAGGTAGAATTATCTGTTGGGAGAGAACAGCAGAACAATTTGGCTATCAAGCTGTATTTTTCCCTGCTGACCTCCAGACAACTCTTGTTAATCTTTCCTATGGAAGTAACCTCCCTTTGTGGCTGTGAGGCAGGCAAGATAATAAAAACCTAAACACAGTGAGGAAAGCACCCAATTTACCCTTTGTAGCCAGAGGCAGGGTCAACAAAGAGATTATCAGCCCAGCAGTAGAGCAAGACAGGTAATAAACCATCCCTCTGCCTTGAAATCTCCGAACAAAACACACCCTTGGAGCTGATTCTGCTAGAGGAAGCCTGCAGTCTTGTGATGGGGAGGGAGAATCAGAAAAGGATTTCTCTGCAATATGTAGGCAGAGACCTGCCTATGTTCGTTCCAAAATATCCCCCTGACACATGCCAACTCTCTTCCCTGATAAGGGGAGAACCTAACACATTTGGGTACCAGCCCCATGACTATTCCTCCAGCCCTTTCATGACTGTTTCGGGATTGACTGTCAAGCTAAGTGGGCTTAATACAGTCTCCCCTAAGCGTTTAAGTTGTGGAAAGTGGGATAGAAAAGCAAAGTATCCATTGCAGAAGAAGGCACGGCTTATTTTAAAAGTCTACGTCAATGCCTATTGACCAACATTATGGGTTTCCAATACTAGTGTTAGGAACGGCTCTAGCTTTTCTGCCCATGTCTGTAGCTTCACTGACATTCTCTTTATCCTCCAGCAGAGCGCCTTTCACTATTGACCGGCCACTACTGAAAGGCTGCAGGTATTGCCAAAAATACTCATGGATCATTCATTAGCATGACCTATCTGACATCCCTAAAAGGACAAGTCAAGGGCTTGCATACCCCAGTGGTGTCCCCGCAAAGCCTCCCCACTGATGGACCTGGTAACATGAGAGACACCCAGATCTGCTAACATTTAACACGCTTCCTAGCCGACGTCAATGTTTGAGCTGGGATGTGCTCCGCGATGGTGCTGAACCAACTCTGTCACCATTGTACTGCACCTCACACCCTCTCTGATCCTTGGAAATTGTTCTTCTGATGGGCAGGGGTAGCAGTTTAGTGGGGAGATTGTTGCTTTTTGGTGTCAAAACACAGCTCTCGCTCTTTTTTTCACTAGCCTAATGCCGTTGACGTCATCCCTCACTAGCACTGGGGCAAATGAGAGCCGAATGTGATCTAGATATGGCATTACTGTCTAAACATGACCTCAAGAAAGCTTAGACAAACAGCCGCCTCTATCACGTCCCCCCTCTGTTCTTAAGCAAGAGCCTAGTGGATTTTCACCATTGGCTGAGGAAGAAGTCCCCTCCTATTAGAGGTTTGAGTGGTCTGATGGAGCCCTCGCTACTGAATTTCTTCCTCTTCTCTCATCACAATTTCCTTTGGCTTAGGAGAGGCCTTGGTCTCAGTGAGCCCGTATCTCTTTGGGCACTCCAATCCCGCTTTCTCACCCCGCAGAATTAAAATCTGGACTGAAGTCAGACTCTTCGGCTCTGCACCTGCAGCAGCTAAGCGAGCCAACTGCGACTGCTTTGCTCAATGTAGGCTATAAGCTAAAGTTAAAGGAAAGGGCAGTATAACAAGGTGGCTCTGTTGCCTGCAAGATACACTTCAGGCACCTTTCCTCCCTTTCAGTTTTTTCCACCAGAAGTAATGAACTGAAGGGAATGGAGCCACCCGGATTCTTCACGAGTTCTCCTTTCGGTTCATCCTGCAGACCACTGGAGTTGCATGTGTACCATGCAGGGGAGTCACAGCAGGTCTTTCCTCTGCTCTGATGTGTGAAGGAAGTAACTGCAGCTAGCCTACCACTTTCAGCCCTATTGCTGGAGATGCCAGTTGCCTGAAAGCACCGCTGTGGCGGGTGTCTGCCTGGACCTCATTTTTCAGCCTGGCTGAAGGAGGAGATCCTCGGAACGCCAATACGTTTGCTCGTTGATCATTTTGCAGAAGTCCATAAAGCCCCTTCATCCAAGGCGTTTCTGCTTTGCCACCCTTTTGGATAGTTATTGCCTTTAAGAATGCTAGTCACTTTAAAAACACTGTGTGTAAATATTCACTGAGTACAGTAGGGTTCTTTTTTTAGAACAGTTCATTTTCTAAAGGATTGTTAGACCATGGGGGGGGGGGGTAGGGCGGGGATCCAGGATGGTTGTGGGTCCAGCCCAAACCCAGAGGTGTTTGAGGTTTATTCTTGGGGATGATGTGTTTCCTTATAGATGTTTTTGTTTGAATGTTTAGGGTCGTAAGGGTTTGGGCTCCATTTTTGTCTGGGCCTCAGGAAATGGTGGCAGAGAAGGCGATTACTGCTCTTGTGATGGCTACACCAACAGCATCTACACCATCTCCATCAGCAGCAGCACAGACAATGGGCTCAAGCCGTGGTATCTAGAGGAATGCGCATCTACTCTCGCCACAACCTACAGCAGCGGGGCATTTTATGAACAAAAAATTGTAAGTTGTATACCCGGCTCCAAGATGGTTAATTGAATTCTACCTACCTGCCATTTCCCCTGTTGTTTAGATTGACTAAGTTGTGGAAGGGGCAAAATTATTGTTAAGTTATTCACACTTCTCCTCCTAAAAACTACTGGGCACTGTTATGTGGTGCTGTTGCTGTGTTTCACCCCAGAGGTGATTGCATTTCAGTGGTGGATGAAATGATTCTAGTTTACAAAGCACTGTGAGATCCTGCGAGATGAAAGGTGTTCTGTTCAAGTAAGTCACTGTTTGAAGTACTGTAGAAGTCCTTACTTTAGTAGACTTTCTCTTTGGGATTTACATTCAGTTTTGGTTTAGATTTTTTTATACTTTGTACCTGATTCTGCAGACATTCAGGCCTGTACTTATCTCTGGAGTCAGTGTGGCTTCTTGTGCACTTAAAGTTGAGCATGTGCATGTTTGCAGGGTCAGGGCCTTAATTTTGTAATTGTAGGGCCAGATTCTACTCTCATTTTCTCTGGATTTACACCAGTGAACTCCATTGATGTCAGTAGAACACCATCAAGGTACATCTGATGTGCAAAGAGAATCGGGACCCTATTTTTTTTTAATCTAAGTGAAAAGCAATAAAATGTTCCAAGCTTCCAAAAGTATAGGCATGTGCACCTAGTGTCCTTTACTACCCTCTGAAATGAAAGCTTAGGATTCTTCTATTAAAGGTCTGAGTTCCTATAATTTTAGCCTGAAATGGGCACTAGAGAGGAAACATGGTTAGGCCACTTGCCTAGGACTTGGGAGAATTGTATTCAAGTCCCTGCTCTGCAATATATGGTTAGGCAAGTTACTTAGGGCAGGTCTTCACTACCCACCGGATCGACGGGTAGTGATCCATCTATTGGGGATCGATTTATCGTGTCTAGAGTAGACGCGATAAATCGATCCCCGATCGCTCTGCCGTCGACTCCAGAACTCCACGACTGCTGAGAGGCGGAAGCAGAGTCGACGGGGGAGCGGTGGCAGTCGACCCCGCGCCGTGAGGATGGGAGGTAAGTCGATCTAAGATACGTCGACTTCAGCTACGCTATTCTCGTAGCTGAAGTTGCATATCTTAGATCAATCCCCCCCACTAGTGTAGCCCAGGGCTTAGTCTCTCTGGGTCCCACTTCCCTATCTGTAAAGAGGGAATAACAGCACTGCCCTACCTCAAAGGGGTGTTGTGAGGATAAATACATTAAAGATTGTGAGGTGCTCAGGTACTACAGGAATAAGGGGCAGCTATGTATCACAACAGAGTTCTAGTATCAGAGGGGTAGCCGTGTTAGTCTGAATCTGTAAAAAGCAACAGAGGGTCCTGTGGCACCTTTGAGACTAACAAAAGTACTGGGAGCATAAGCTTTCGTGGGTAAGAACCTCACTTCTTCAGCAAAAAGAAGAACAGGAGTACTTGTGGCACCTTAGAGACTAACAAATTTATTAGAGCATAAGCTCTAATTTTGTTAATAAATAAAATAAAATAAATAAAATAAATTTGTCAGTCTCTAAGGTGCCACAAGTACTCCTGTTCTTCTTTTTGCGGATACAGACTAACACGGCTGTTACTCTGAAACCTGTCACTTCTTCAGATGCAAGTAATGGAAATCTCCAGAGGCAGGTATATATCAGTGTGGAGATAACGAGGTTAGTTATCTCCACACTGATATATACCTGCCTCT